GGAGTGAGAAATATGCCCCTTGGACCATTAGTGACTAAACTCACTGAGCAGAGGTACTGAAACCAGAGGACAATGCTTTTCTTCTTGCTGTATTGCTGGAATAGTGCAATATATTTTCTGTAACTACTCCTGGGGCTCCATCAGGACTTGCTCAGCTGTCCTTTGTGGTGACAATAGGAAGACTCAATATTGTACTAGTTTCAGTACCTTCTGCATTTTCATCTTCCCATTTTCCTACTATTAATAACTGAAATTATTCCTGCACCATATTAATAATTTCTACATCACTATTTTAAGCTGTGATATTTCAATATCTTTTTATAGATATTCAATATCATTTTCCTTATTGTTTTAATGTCTTATTTATCTTTTTATAGGTTTTCAACCTTTATTAATATCTTCTACCTTTGCTTTGATATTGTGTTTTGTGTCTATGAAAGTCATATATCTTATCAGGGACAATATAATGTCAAATGCTGCTTACATTAGAACCATCCTTTGTCTCCAGGTTGGTGAATATTAATACCTACTCATGTCATAAATATAAACTTAAAACATCCGCTTTCCCTCCTTTACTTAATTTACTAATACGTTGCAGGAGTAATTTTAGTTAATGATAGTAGGAAAATGGGAAGATGAAAATGCAGAAGGTATAGGAGGGAAACAGTCATCAGTTGCCAGTAGCTCCTCAGGAAGGGATAACACTTCATGAACCCATCTTCCACCCCTGGAAGAACTCTGAGTTACTTGATCTTATGCATACCTAATGCATGCAGTCACAGCAACTGTGTGAGTTCATGTGTGCAGTGACCTTGTCATCTCAAGAAAATGATTTTCAACAAAAATGGATTTTCTCTGGATGCAGTCCATGATAAGTTATCTGTGTTCACTGGATAGACCTACCACCATATGTTTACTGGTAACACAAGTGAACTCAGTAGGTTTAAAGAAGAGTACACGAAGACCGGAGGAAGTGGTGGGTAGGTTTAAGAAGCTAGCACGGTGGACGTAGGAATGGGTTTGGTAAAATGCATTTTATTTATACATGATACTCTTGATAATTTATAAAAAAAATGTGAAGTGGAAACTTCTAGTTTTTTCGGAAAGTTACTATGCCAAATAATGTTTTGCTGGGGCACAAGGGTGAAAGGATGTCTTGATAAAGCAAACACATGAAAGACTGTTTTCCTGACATAGACACAGGTGAAAGGACGTTTGGATATAGCAAACACGTGAATGAATTCTTGATGAAGGAGTATAACTATGACCCTATAGAGAGTGGGAGGTGGCACTGAGCTTTGGTATTGTTTGCTCCACCTTGCCATTCTTCACTAAAGACATGCACTTATTAGTTTGCCTTACATAGCATTGAGTATTGTGATAATGCCTATATTGAGAAAAATCTGCACAAGAGTTCCTCTTGAGGTTCCCGATGCAGCTTGCTGTTTCTGCAGCCTCAACTTGGCCAGTTCGTGAGGCTGGTAGTTTCTTCAGGATTGAACTACAGCTGTCTGGTGTCTGCTTGATGAAAGGACTGGACTGTAGCTGCTGGTTCATGCCAGAGTCTTCCTGCCTAGGTGACTGGTATGCAGCTGCTGAGTTGTATTTGGTGTTTGCTACAGAAATAAATTTCTGCCCAAGAAGATGAAGTTCACCCTCAAAGAACTATTACTGAACAGATCCACTTCCCCCATATCCTAATATAATTTTTCCCTTCCACTACCTCTGCTGGGTGGTGGGCTAGAGCAGAAGTAGAATTCTTATTAAAAGTAGGTTGCAAAAAATTTTATGAAACACAGGAACACAGAAAATTAAAGTTTATAGAAGTCCCAAACATTGCACCAAGGATATCTAAATTGTCATATTTATCACATAGACACTAGAGAAAACTAGGACAAATGGCTTGCCTGCTCTTTGTGCTGTTTCTTGTAATTGCATACCAATCTGCAACTGTTTCAAAAGAAAACCTTTAAAGAAAATGATGCTTGTGTTTTCCTGTGATGGTGGCTCCAAATTCACAAGGCATTATAAATTGCATTCCTTGAGCAGGTTAATGTCCAAGTTAAACACCAGTATCTTTGAGACCACCACACTGGAATTATGAACTCATATGCAAAACTCAACTTGGCTTTCAGATCAAAGCTGTATCTTATTTCCACGTGCTTTGAAATCTTTACAAACCAGGAGAAATAATTTTATATTCTATTACAGATTAAATAGAAGAACATGTCATCTATATCTTCCAATGCTTACATAGAAAGAAAACATTCAAATTCCCTGGTCTGTGTTGTGTACCTCTACGATAAAAGAGGCTTTATAAAGGAATGCTTGGTTTGTATGTACATTTTTATTTTTGTCTACTTTTACAAGGATGTGAGAAAGAATTCCAGTGGAAGTTATGATGATGAATTATCAATGATGAATTATTATTAGGGAGAAGAAAACATGTCCCTGGAGAGATGGGCTATCCTCTTATTTCCTGTTCAGATAATGTTTTTGTATCACAGAAAACGATGATTTTTTTCCCTTTAAAATTAGTTAATTAAATGTTTATAAGTTGCCATGTACAGTACCTTATAAATTTAAGGACTCAATTTATTCAAAAATGTTTCAAGCAAGCAGGGTCCACTTTAAAAGCTGGGGTACTGAGAACTTTTCTCTCCATGTCATTATTTTTCTGCAGGTGTTTCTTTCCTCTGCACCCACAGTGCGTGCTGAGCCCACGGCTGGCATTTGTCTCCATCACTCGCAAATGCTGTGTTTCTCTGCTTTAGTTACCCTTGGCCCATACCTTGACCTTCTGCTTCCTGTCTCAATAAATTCTGAACGCAGGCATTTACCTGCAGCAAATATGAATGGTTCCTCCAGAAATATAGCATCCGATAAAAACCAAAGCCAAAGGAAATAGCGAGGTGAGGGCAGGTGTAATTTTCTCATCACAGCCTTCCTTGCCTTTTCCTTTTAGGCTCAGTACTACGTTGACCTCTGTCTATTTTTATGGCTAGATTAATTCTGCGGTTTCAACGAGCCCCTATTTTCAGAACTGTGTGGCTGGGATGACCTTAAGAAGTACTGACCTCTAAAAAGATAGTATGAAAAAAGAATGATTGAAACATAGAAAAGAAGCCGAGATTTCCAGGACTGGAAGACAGCTTAGAGATGATCTTATGCAACTTTCCATTTTTATAGAGAGGTGGGTGAAGGAAGGATGGCTGTCAGGCTTGTGTCTCTTACATGCTAGGTCCTTAAGCTTTCTTCATTCAACAGGCCTGAAGACTGGAAGTCTCTTCTGTCCTAAGGCATGCAAATAGCAAGAACCCCAAGCTAAAAGCTGAATTACATAAATTGAAACCAGATGAATATTGAACTTACCATTACACTATGTCCTTGTTTTGTGCCCAGCAACGTTTCCTGACTGGTGACTTTTGCTCTGTTACATGAAAGATTGTCTTGCTTCTTTGCTGAGTCTCCTCTGTGTCTTCTGCTCAGACTGTTGACCTATGAAAAGGTCCATGATGCTTATTGATAATGCATAGTATTAACTTGTACTCACATCTTCTCTGATGATGGTTTGAGTAGAGCCTTTGAGAACACTTTTCACACACACACACACACACACACACACGCACGCACGCACGCTCACACACACACTTATGTAAACATGATTTTATAAGATGATTTAAAACTACAAATGAAGTATGTTTTAGAAAGAATCTGTGGATCTACATGGGGAGAAGACTCTTTCTCACAGTGTGACTTTTCCTACCAATTAAGGAGATAGCATAAATGTCTTACATTCTGGGAAGATTTATTGTTAAAAATGTTTATCGATGGCTTTAGCTACTTGTCTTAAGGGTGCTTTCTGGGATGGTCTATCATGTTAGGTCTTATGTGCTTCCTGAATCGCATACAGACTCAATCTCTGCATCCTATTTGGGGTGTTGAAAGAGAGGAGCAGAAGAAAAAGAAAAGTTGATATGACAAATAACAAGTTAAAGATAAGGAGAGGAAGTGATGGGAAGGGAGCCATTGACCTCTCCTGGTCTTATCAATTCTTTCTCCCACTCCTCTCTGCTATGGAGCTCTAGATACACTCCATCCACAAAATTACTCCCTCTGAGCATAATAGCTACGATAGCATTATTCGAGTCTGCTATTGTTTGCTTTATAAAGATATCAAATCATTGTTAGTCTTGTATAGTACAGATAAAAGGTACTTCAAATAAACATCCTTTCTGAGTTTTATAGACTCTGAATGAAAAATTAAAAATGCTTTATTGTCTTTCAAGGATTATGCAAATATAAGATATATAACCTTCTTATACTGAACAGAACAAACACATTACAGAGCAAATAAGATAAACAATTTGAAATATAATTATTTTTGATACAAAATTGTAAAGATTTACTGTGTATTTAGATACCCATTACTTGTTTTTAATTGTTACTTTCATCTTCAATTCTTAGTATTTAGACAAAAACCAAGAAAGAAATAGTAGTGTGTTCTGTAATGTAAAATAAGTTATCATTTTTTTTTCATTTCAAGACATCATTGGCCAGATGTATTCATATCATCACAGAACATCCTCATATGAAACAAAATTTATGATGCATGAAGAAAATCTTTGTAAAATCCCTGAATCTTTATCTTCTGTCTAAAGGGAGAATAATTAATTATACATCATGATTCATTTTAGAAAGTAAATGTCTCATGCCTGGAACTTGAGGGATTAATATTGGAAATAGCATATGGTGCAAGGTAAGTGCGATTTCTTTGCAGGCTGAGAATCCTGGCCCGGGTGGAAATGTGTTGGACTATGTTATATATATATTCTCTCCTTCACTGTTAGGACTTAAAGTATGTCTGCATTCCAGCAGGATCCCACAGACCTAGGATGTCTTTGTTTGTGATCACTTCACAGAACAATCATCTGGATAGATTAAAATTCCTGTACATTGGCGAGTCCATATTCTACATAGGCCTTTATAATAATATTTGTCCTGACCTAGAGGTGTTGTAGGTATGCCTGCTGTGACACATGTGTGTTCGTAGGTGGCAGGTAAGAAAAAGTCTATGTCTCTCCTCAGAGTTCTGACCTATGAACATCGGACTAGTTAGTAGCCTAACACTCTCTGAAAAACACAAGCCTGAGCGGACTACCAGTCTGGCACCTTTTGGTAAGTTAGTTATGCCAAATGATGTTTTGCTGGGGCACACAGGTGAAAGGTTGTCTTGCTAAAGCAAACACGTGAAAGACTGTTTTCCTGAAGCAGAAAAGGTGAAAGGATATTTGGATATAGCAAATGCATAAAAGGATCTGTAGTGAAGGACTATGAATTGACCCCAAAGACTGTGGAAGACAAAGCATTGAGGTTGCTTTGGTTTGCTCTGCCTCTCTATTCTTTGCTAAAGACATGCATATATTGGTTCACCTAACATAGTGTTGTTGAGCTCAACTTTTGATAACTCTGACATTGAGAGAAACTCACCCAAGAACTGCTCCTGAGGTTCTTGTGGCCGTTGCTGCATCCTTTATATTCATCTGCACCGGAGGGCCTGGACAGAGAGCTGGCCTGAAACAACCACTAGTCTGGTGCCACACAAGACCAGATGGGCTGCCAGAGTGGCGAGCGAGCTGGAGACTAGAGGAACCTCACTGGGGATTGCAAGTCCCAGGAAGGGGTGAGCATAAGATATAAGACCCTCTCATGGGGCCTCGTGGGTTGCCTAGGCAAGGAGCAAGCCCAAGACGACCACTAGACAAGAAGCTAACCTGTTCCGGCCTGCCTCCCAGGAACCAGTTGATAACTGAGGGCCTTGCAGAACTGGCCCCACCCCTTACCTGGGCTGGGGGCAGGGAGAGAGAGAGAGGGAGAGGGAGAGAGAGAGGGAGAGGGAGAGGAGAGGGGAAGAGGGGGGGAAAGGGGGAGAGGGGGAGAGCGGGAGGGGGGAGAGGGGCCCCGCGGCCCCCCGCCGCCCGCGGGCCCGGGCGAGGCGGCGGGCGGAGAGGGGGGAGAGAGAGAGAGAGAGAGAGAGAGAGCGCTGAGGTGGCTCTGAGCAATAAGAGTGAAGGTTCCCATGAAATAGGCAGTAGAGAGATGTTTCCTCTGCCCCTTGCCACCTACAGGCAATCTGGCCCCAAGGTCATCAGAGGAGGAGGGCGGGACCTGCCCCTCGCCTAATGCAGGACTCAGGAGAATGGGCCCTGCACCTCACCTAGACATCATAGGAGAGTTGGCCCTGGGTATAGAGGTTGTAGTTGAGTTAGCTCCAAGTGCATGTACATGCGAAAACTGGCCCTGCCCTTTGTCTGCTGTGTGGTGGCACAGATGAAGAAAGATGGCATCCCCTCCTTTCTCAGACTTCTCCACCTATATGGCAGGTGGGAGAAATAATCCCATGGTCCTGAGAGTAGGAGAACTGGCTCTGTCCCTTACTGGGTGGAACGCTTAGGAGAACGGGTCCTACACCCTGCTTTGGCATCAGGATAGAACTGGCTCTGGTCATGGTGATTAGGTGAGCTGGCACCACGGCCATGAGAATGGGGGAGCTGGAGGGCTGGCTAGCTCAGATTCCTCTCAGGCTAAGATCCAGCACTTTGAATTGGGACTCTCCAACATCTACTCCATCGATTAACTGCAAGAGTACATGAAGAGGCCAATCCTAAAGAATCAATACTACAGGATCGCCATGACACTGGGCCACAAGAGCGTGTCTGAGGAGGCCCAGTGAGGTTCCAGTATGGACAGTAGCTGAATCCAGAGGCCTTGTATCAGATTGATGAGTCATTGCAATGAATATTTACAAGCAAAGATGTATTAACAAAAGGGTATACTGTGGTACACTCTGTGACACACTACAATTTCCGCAAGACTTTTTTATCTGTTTGAGGGTGTTGTAAAGGTGTGGAGGAGATACAAGGGGAGGGAGGGAGGAGTGGGACTTATAGAAAGTTAAAAAGATTGGATAGAAAGTTTTAAAATATTGACTAATGTTTTTTAACCTGTTGGTTGCGACTCCTTTGGAACGGTGAAGTAACCCTTTCAGAGAGGTTACTTATTAGACATCCTGCACATCAGAATTTACATTACAATTCATAACTATAGAAAAATTACAGCTATGAAGTACATTGGTATAATTTTATGGTTGGGGTCACCGTAACGAAGGAATAAATTTGTATCTCATTAGGAAGTTTGAGAGCCACTGACTTAGATGATGTCATTATAAAATAAAGTATGCACAGCAAAGGTTTATGCTCTTATTCAAATTCTTACTAATGTAGTTAATATTTCATGCAAATCCAAGAGAGCAATAAAAAATTATGACTTGGATAGTGCTAGCCTTTTTTAGTAAAATAATATAACAAAACATTCTCATTAAAATAGTAAAAACAGTATTCAGTTATTTCACCTTTGCCTTTTAACTTATTGCTTATTGATTTTCAACCTGATTTTTATTGATTTTTGGACTTACTCATATGTATCTAGTATTTATACTTTTAAGTAACAACCACATTTCTAGTCTATGAGGCAAGGAAATGTTCTCATACTTATTTTAAAATGTCTGCATATGTTTATGTCCGTTAGCTTCATTAGAATGATAACTTACTCAAATTTAGTAACATTAGACAGTAAAATAATATTTGTATCATGTCTATGTTAATTTAATCCTCTTACTGATTCTGCTAAAGCAGAAAGATCAGTTGAAATGACTCAATTTAGCTCAGCTTCACATAGTCCCACCTGCACTAGAAGATGGCCTGGGCTTCTTATCACTAAGGGTCCAAGAAGAAGGAGAAGCTAGCAAGCTAAGGGCCATGGACAATCAAAGTTAGTCCAGCAATCAGAGGGGATATATGCAAGGCTATAGCAAAAACTAAGATGATGCAGGGTTGATGGGAGGACAGCAATCCTCCTTTCCTTCAATCAAACTCATATGTGAGTTTTAAAAAATCAATTATAAATATTTCATATATCGAGAAGGGATTATTTGAAAGACAGTAGCCATTGCTTTTGTAGAAAATAACATTGTTTTATATTCTGTTTTATCTACTTTCCACTTTTATTGAAAACAGATTCCTTTCTCATACAATATATTATGGTTATAGTTTCCTTTACCTCTTTTCCTCCAAAGCCCTCTCCACTTCCCCTCCCATCCAGATCCATTCCATTTCTGTCTTTCATTAGAAAAGAAAGAGATGACAAACAGAAAAGATAAAATATAGTAAGATGAATTAAAAACTATCATATCGAAGATGGATCTGGCAACTCAAGAGGAATAAAAGTCCAATAGCAGACCCACTTGTTCTCATGGTGAGGAGCCCCATAAAAACACTAAACGAAGAGTTATATATAAACAAAAGACTTAATGGAGACTTAAGGAGGTCCCATGCCTGCTGCTTCATTATTTTATGATTTGTTCTTATTGGCAGTTGAACATTAGAAAACATATTAAGTATTTATACTTTTTCCTTTCATATATTGTTATCGTGTTTAATTTGAGAAACTGCAAAATGATAGACTTTGCAGAAATAAAGGTGAAGTACCATCTGCTTCTAGCTGAGGCTAGTTATCAGGGAAGATCCATTGGGATCTGTAAAAGATTCACTATGGAAAGAAATCACGGATGAGGGAACACCAAACTCCTTCTGTGGGTTGGAGAATCTTTCATACAGATTGAAGATTTAATCTTTAGGAGATGAGCAGGTTTCCATCCATGTAGAAGGGGAAGTGCAGGTCCTACAATGCAGGGCACAGGGAACATGTTATATCTATGTTGGCAAGAAAAAGGTAGTGAAACCAGTGTCAAGAGACTGAGAAGAAGAGAGAAAGTCAGTGGAGATTATATGATCTTTATTGGTCTATAATTTGGACTGATAAGAATTGACAAATTCAGAGAAAACACGTAAGTTCGAGATCAGAGTATTTTGTGAGTCAACAGATTCCTAGAGGCATCAACAAGAAAATATTTTCTAACATGACTGGGGTTCTCTATCATGAGCCTTTTCTATTTTCACATGGAGCTCAACCAAAGCATGAAATGTCTCATTTTCTATTGCTTTTTCTTAAAAAAAAAAAAAGTAACACAAGTTGAATACCTTGTGCTTAGAATTGGAAAATTGAAATGTTCCCAAAAAAACTCAAGTGTTTTTTAGAAGAGATGTGATGTCACATGGATGGAAGTGACAAATTGTTCCCAGTTTTAAATGCATTCATGAATAATGCTCAGGACTGAAAAGATGGAAAACTGTCTGTAGGCGGCAGTTTTGAGTGTACCATGAGTTAAAAGCTGATATGTTCTTTGATACTGTCATTGCCATCAGTCTGTGATTTAAGCTAAGTCTAGAATTAGACTATACCTTACGCTAGATTATGATGCTACGTATAATGACTTTCCTTTTTATTATTATTGCAGCTACAGCCATTATCATCATCATCATCATCATTAACAGCAACATCTTCGTGATATTCCTAGACCTCTTACCCATCTTATATTTAGTAAACTGCTCAATAATTTGCTATTACATGAGTTTAGTTCCATCTTTGTACCAGAAAGGAAAAGCTAACCACCATGTCACACACTTATGGCACAAGCACTTGTGAGTGTGAGGCAAGGTATCTAGCAGCCTGGGCTACACAGTCAAGTTTCAGGCAAATCTGAACTACATAGCAATATCATATTTTTGAAAATAAATGAGAAATTTAGCCATATCAAGGTTAAAATATTAACATGAAATGTCACCTCTTGGTTTGTGATTGAAATAATCTTTTCCTGAAATTTTCTCTTCAAGTGGACTCCCATTAATAATTTGATATACTAATTTTGCTTATCTATGTCATTTATATGTCACTTTACCCCAAAGCATTAGGCAAATCTTCTTACAAGAAAGATATGTAACATAGCTGTTTGTGAATGATTTCACAATTAAATTGTCTAAGTTTCAGATTAATACCAATCCCCTCTTGAACTGAGCAACAAATGCATTTAGTTAGCTGCAAGCAACAGACAAATAATTTATCTTGACCCTACACCTACTTGACAAATTCTAGAAGATTACAGCCAACTAAAGGTGAAATCATATATTTTCTACTTCCATACCTGGTGTTTTGATATACCAAAACAGGAAAGGT